TAGCTACATCGGTCCGAACGTCAGTCTCTTTGGTGGTACGTTACAGACGGACCCCAAGAGGCGCAAAGGTAGCAAGAGCGCACACATCGGTGCCGCTATTTACATCGACGAGGATGTGTGGGTCGGGGGCGGTGCTATAGTTCTTTACGGGGTAAGAATTGGAAGGGGAGCGACAGTGGCCGCCGGAGCTGTGGTAACTAAGGTAAGCCTCCGAAACTTGAATTCCCCATTAAGGAGACGGTTCTGATGAAGGCCTCAGGATGTGCCACCATTCACTGTCGTAGCTGGCAACCCTGCTCGGGTGACGCGCGGCGCGATCAGCTGACAGGATAGAAGTTGGATTTATCTCATATTTTACTATTTTGCGAATTGGCCATGATACCCGATTTCGATGTTGATGTCATTTTACATAATGCACAGCTCCGCTTCTCACATTTCTTGCTTCGCGTGCGCGCTCTCGCAGCAAGCACGATAATCGGACATGCTGTCTCTACCGTGTGACGAGCGTTTTGGCACTGATTGGTCACAACCTCGGCTTTAATTCCTTGACGCCTCTTCCCAACATCTCTCGGGGAAAGGTCGGGGCAATCAAGACAATATCGAAAGCCGTTGGGTACGTGGGACGAGAGCGATATTTTTATTACCTACGTGGAAGATCGTGATACATATTAGAGAAAGATCTCAGATAGCTCTGGAAGCTATATTGGCGACACCGGTTGGGAAAGTTCGTTTTTGGTTTTAAGGAAGCGCGCATACTTGGAGGTTCTCTCCGGTCACCGGAATGGGAATATGGGAACAGGTCCACACTCACGAGACGACGGCCTTCACATGGATTTTACAGACGCACGCAGGAACGCCGCTGATGTAGAATAGGTGGCGAGCTATAATCGCCACTTATGTGAAGACGAGGGTAAATGAAAAGAGAGGCAGGGTACGATACATAGTCATAGGTAGATCTTGGTTAAAAGATACCCGGTTTTTTCTGGTTCAATTGGCGGTGTGGAAGCGCGTTCACATTATGCATCTATGTTTATAGGAGTGAGATTTCATCACGTAATCATTATAGTAAGTCTGTCAGCACAAACTGCAGCTCGGGCTCATTATCGCAAACTGATTATCGATCGTGTGTCAACAAGATTCGTAACTTAATATAATAAATAAGTCCCAGTGTACGACACCTGAAAACAAGATAGTACCAATTGAGGCATTCGCCCCGAGCCGACCCCTTTCCGCCATCCCCACCGCTCCCCCCTTCTTAGCTCCTCGATTCCAGTTTGTACCTGGTGACTAATCTCGCTAATATATAGACGCATAGGTATGCGCATATTATAGAGTTTAGGTTCTGCCTATTAATTGGCTCTCCCAACAAAGTTAAAAGCGGTGGTATACACGGTGCACGCATCTGCCGTCCATCTTGACCTAAAAAAAAATGCGATCACTCGAGTCGCATACTAGCCTCGAACTCTAACCAAATATCCTGCTCAAATATGTAACTGCCTCAAGTCTTGCCTTCCTACCGAGACACAATGACAGATTTCTATGTAGATAAATATGCTCATATAAAATATAGAATGAACCCAGAGAAGTGGATTTCTAACTTAACCTCTACACAAATTTTTATCGTTGGAAATTCTAAGATCGATTCAAACACCTCCAGACCTTGGACTCACTCAGTAAACATAACAGTTCTGTGGACTGGTAATATGGACATACTCCTGATCCCCTCCTTATGCCCAATTTCTCTTCTTCATCACCATGGCGTATAAGCCGCTAGCTAAGTACCCGGATCTCGAGCATCATCCAGCAGCCTCAGCTCGATCGTCGCGTTCTCTGGCCCCGCGTCAGAGGACCAGTTTAGCCGAGTATCAACTAGAGCAGTCAGTGAGCTCCTTCATTGCGAACCGCGCTGGGATTGCGTGGCGACCACCATGATGAGGACCTCCACATCCCGTCACGCCTCATCAGCGGCCAATCTGGTATGGTCAAGGTGCTAGGTAGATGCGAAATTCGGAGGAGGGCGGAGAAGAGAATTTCCTCGCCATCGTCGTCTTTATGGACGAGTTATGAGCCCGCTGATGGGGTCCGCTGGGGACATCGCTGCTATCACAGCATTTCATGGAAGTGAACCACCCATACGGGGAAGTGCGAAGAAGCACTTCACCGCGAAAGGGTATCATCCGCCGCCACCACGTGCGGACCGGGCTTCGTGCTCACGGCCACGGTTTAGAATACGGTCCAGCAACACTAAAGCACTATGGTGATGGCCAGCTCGAGTTTGTCGATTGTCAGAATTGATGGGATATTTGTTCATGATCCGTAGCACACGGGGTGGCTACCATATCTAGCCGTTACTGTGTCACACATGGCACGGCGTGTTCTAGCATACGGAATGGACATCACAAAGAGCCGGAGGAGGCTTGGGTCGGTATCTCATCTCTGTAATCTGCTCCTAGCAGGAATTCTTAATAGGAAACGAAGGGGAATCATGGGAACTCTTGGCCATCGAAATGTTGCGCCTATCCCCCCGCATCTTCTGGTCTCTTCGAGCTACCAAAAGGGTATTTTCCCGACGCACTGCCAAGCTGACAGCCCGAAGTCCTCCGATCGGAGCGAGACAGAGAACCCAATAGTCGGAAAAGACTCACCTATCTTCTACAGCTGGGGCCTTCGTTGTTTAAAAATCGCCAATTCAAGGCATTGCATTACCAAGAGCTATCAGTACCTCATACTCAGCCAACAAGACATACTATGCTATCCTCTTCATTCAAAGGCTCGTCTTCCAACGACGAGAAATGCCAGAATCTGGCTTGGGCCGACCAAAGCTTAGAGGACTCGGCCTTGCTTGCCCCCGCCAGCCTCAAGCCGCACTCTCTGACTGACTACACGGAGAACCCTTACCTAGCGCGCATCTCTGGTTCCAGCAATCTACCGCTACGGGAGTGGCTTCTAATCGGTGTCATCTCGTCAGAAAGCTAATTCGGAACATCGTATACGCTGTCAATTGTATCAAGCTACCAATATAGCGACGAGGTGGGACTTATCACTACCTAGACTAGAAGCTATGGTGTTAGGAATACGGAAGCGTTAGTATCCTGAATCTCAAGGATTCGAGGGCTTTCAAGCTGAAGAACACTGCAATGTCCCAACTGAGGGAGACGATGGTTAGATATGGATCTACCACGAGTGCAGAGAGAAGAACCATAATCCGTGATTTTCGCACTTTTTCTGGAATTCGGTTATATCTACGAGCAACTATCCGCTCTGAGACAAGGCGAAGAGGTAATGGCGAAGTAATGGCAGCTAAGATCCGGACTCCGGTCCAGATGTGGCAGGATATGAACGAGAGGTCAATGGTGGAGATGACTATTCCCAAAGAGATAGATGATTGATGTGAGGGCATTGGGAAGATAGGTAAAAGGGAGGGGTGGTGCGGACGTTTCCTTGGGGGAAATTGGTATATTCTGCCCCTCTAACCCGGACGAGTTTCGTCCACGCATGCTCTGTCGTCAACAAGAAAGACCGCGGGAACGGTCCAGCAAGCCCCAAGATACTCGGCGGTCTTGTGAGCATTTTATTCGGGGCAATTGATAGAGCGAAGGCCTACCATCTTGTGGTATCGAACAGCCAGCAGTAATTCCGTACACGACCGAGGGAGCTTCGATGTCAGCGGCAAGGTCCCCTAGTTAACAACAAACTAGGATCTTGGGTTCCGGGAACGCCATTTCATCGAGAGGCTTGTGAGAAGCCAAACCAGTCCCGATGAATTCGATACGAGGGAAATAAAGTCGAGAGCGATGCATAACCAAGACATGTTAGCCCAGTTTCACCTGGCAACTGATAGATGGGGTTGCAACCACGCTTTTCCCATCTACGCTGAGCGACCTGACATCTTCCGGTGAGAGCTGCAGGATTCGAACCTGCGCGGTTTCACTACCGCGCTCAGTGACGTTCACAAGGCACCCGAGCTACACCAACCTGCAGTCGAAAACGATTAGTGTGGACGAACTGCCGTGTCGTTGGTGGGGGTGGTAGGAATTTTCGTGGGATCGGTCCTTGGGAAAGTCTTTCCTCTCTTTTGCGACCAAGAACAAATCATAGAACACCTTGCAACAATAAGGCCTGACATGCAACCCTCCGAATCAGAGCCGTACCTCGGAGCGAACATAGTCGAAATCAGTGAAATCTATCGTATCTGTTAAAAGGTAGAACGATGAGTGTTTGCGAGAACGAACTTCCAACATGTTGATTGAGTCGTGGACTGAAGTTCGACTGTCTTGTGGTGACTTGGGTCGAGCTTTTGTTGAAGGAGCTGGGTTGATGGTGGTACTGGGACGATTCCTGACCAGAAACGTCTGAGATGAGTATCAGGAATGGCATTTCGATTGAGTCATTGTTGGGTGTAAGGAGTGGCTAACAAGCCCTCCCCAGGGAGTTTGATCGGATATAGGACCTGGGTTGAGGTTAGGTGATTCTAACCTAGAGTAGTTTCCCTTCAAAGACACATAAACTTGAAGTAGTTTTAAGAAAAACAATCACGCTTTTACCATCTACGCTGAGCAACCTAACATCTTGTAGATAGAAAATACAACTCTTCATGCCCCCAATCAGTCAAGTCTTTTCTGGACGAAATGACCAGATAGAAGTTGGTAAGAGATGTGTGTAATAAAAGAGAAGAAAGCCTCCAAAGAGCTTTTTTCCTACAAAGTTATGATATACCCCTCACGGTGCGAATAGCACCTTCCCTAGATGTTATCCCCTATCTACAGGTTGTCCTACGCCAGTGTAATTAGCCATCAACATTATACCTACCTACTAGATACTTTACAATCGCACTATGTAGTAGTATGGATATACGTCATATCTACTCGATAGCATCTATCAATTGCTCCACTCCACTCCGAGCGTGAGGAGCGTGAGGCTCAGAGTGTGTACCCACCCACTAGCTATAACAATTAAGCTAAGACCAAAATTTTTCAACAACTTCGCACCGCGGTCCGATTGGGTTCATGGCCTAATGGTAAGGCGTCAGATTTCGGTTCTGTATGGGTGTTTGCCACCACCGTATAGAATAACTGTTCTCTGAAGATTGCAGGTTCGATCCCTGCTGAGCTCGATTTCTTTTTGTAGATATTTCTTTTTTAGTATTAGCATTCTTACGTTTCGCAAACGTGGTGGGAGGGACTACTATAGGTGGCGGGAGACCCTTGAAAAGGATAACTAGGGCAGGGCATAGGTATAGCTACAGCTAAAAAGAGCTGTGGGATCAATTAGGAACATGCTGAGTTTTGCCTCGGCTTGGAATAGGGGTCCAAATTTGGAGTTGATAGCTACGTTGAATTGGATGTTACATTGCAATCATACACTCTTTAACCTTGCATCTTCCAAATTGATTAGAATGACCTATATGCCATCAAAGAGTGAGGAACCGCGCAAAAGATAGGTGGGTTATGGGAATTAAGATGATTGTTCGGGTAGGGATATCCATAGAATATATTGCGATGGCGTATCCTCTCTCAGACAGTACGACAAAAAAAATGAATGGAAACCGAGCCGGTGAAATTTGAGAGCCCGTGGAAAAGGACTGGGGAACTGCAGAACATTCGACGTGGGGTGTTTCGACCTACAGGCGATATAATTCACATTGCTAAATTGTACGCCGTAAAAAGTGTGGTGGTTGGTTGTTGAACTATAAGGGGTGAAGATGATTCGCCTTGGCCCTTTCAGCCCACATTATGCGTGACAAATAAGTAGCCTGTCATTTGCCGCTCTGCGCTCAGGTCTGGCGTATGTCTCGGCTTTAGAGGTGCAGGTACCTTGGCGGTGGTGTCACTGGGGCAAACCCTAGCGGTGCAAGCTTTCGGAGTTGTAGGCTCGAATGTTACGGTGGTAAAGGGGGATTCTGGGAGAATGGTCGGACCTATGCGCGAACACGTTTTTCTCGAACCACGCCTAACATCCTAGGGGTAATAACTAATCTTGGCTTGGGGATATTGTTGGGAGGTTCGTACAATTCATTAACGCGCTCTGCGTCAAGCTGTCACTCTGCGACTGTATCGGTTGGAGTAGTCCGGTCCAATAGTATTATTACCGGAGATGCCGGGGACCGGTAAATTCGGAATGGGGAACCGGGTGTAGAAAGGGGGAGCCATAGTCGGAATGAATACTGCCGGTTAGCATTTCAACTACCGCGATTTTTCGGACCTAGGTTTGTTCCTCTCGGGCCAGCGTCTTTAACCCTAGTAAGCTGGTATGTACAAGCTACGAAGAGAAGATCCATGACGAGGAGGAGATAGCTGGCGTCGAATCGTGAGTTGTGCAACGTAGACGAGGGGAAGGGGGGTCGATACCGGAGATTAGAGCCCAACCTGAGCTTCTCCGGGTTGGGTTAAGATCCATGGACGCAAGTAAGATTGTCCCGTTTCCTTATTGCCTCGTAAATGATAGGGGCAAAGTAACCGAAGGGCTGCGGACTTCGATAATGCTGAGCTACGCTAGATAACTAGGTAGTAAGTATGTAGTCGATTACTGATTACTCTGCGCTTGTGACCGGTGATGGTATTGGATATTATTTATATCCCGGTATTTGGAGAATGGGAGGTAATAAATAACCCCATTCAGAATACTATTAAATGTACAGAGTAGTAAAGCAATAAGACGGACTTCTAGCCGAGTCCTAGAGGTACTAAATACGGGTATAATAGATCGCGTTATAGACTTATGGTAGCAGATTAAGTATCGGTTAAGTAGCCGCATGATGATCAAGATTGGATCGGCTCGGGTAAGTCGGTCTGTTAATAGAATTACGGAATTATGTATTGTATTATTATATTGTATTATTGTATTATTGTATCAGGTAGCGGATGTATTGGATATGGAGAGCCGTCGATATTGTACTATCTGACAAACCGGCACAAGACAGCAGGTACATATACCCATAAGAAAACTAAGGGATGTATCCAATCATATTCTGAAAAAGGCTTGCCAAGGCTTTTTGAACTAATCAAACCCCGTTTCAACTGGACCTTCTATGTAACTGCTGTCTTGTGCCGGTTCGTCAGATAGTGGGTAGATAGGTACCTAGGTCCTAGGTAGGCTGGTAGGTAGGGTTAAAAATAATTCCCGAGAGGAAGAGGAGTAAATAGGAGAAAAGCAGGGGAACGGATTTACGGCTCGAGAGAGGAGGGAACTATCTTAGGACCTATCTTTAAATCCAGCCGAAGAAACTCCGTCGGTCATAGGTTCCCAATCGGAAAGTGCCAAGGATTGTGCTATCGGAGTCTACCATGTAATTGGCCTGATCGAGTTTAATTGGGTTCGTTGGTGGGAGAAAGTTGACCTCGATACCTGCCCAGTTACTGTTTCCAGCCCAAATTTATGGTTGTCTTATGTACAATACCTCCACTTACCTCCAGCTACACATGCAATGGGAGTAATACAGGTAATACAGAGTAAACCGCGACGGAGTTTCCTAGGGCGTTTTTTTCTCCCTCCCGGGTAGGCGGATAGGCGGATGACACTGTTTCCGACAACCCAAAGAATGCAAGAGCGCGAGGAAGCTAAGAAACCAAAAAGTTGACGGTCCAGGTTGGTCGAGGTTAATTATGATACTTATGACACTAGAATGGATCTTTTAGCCAATCCTGGATCTTCCAAGTTGTACATCTCCAGTTATGTTGGACCTTGGACCTTGGACCTTGGTACAATGTGTACAATATACATCCAATATACAAGATATAATATATATGTATTGTGTACATACTACAATGTAGCAGTAGTACTAAAAATCCATTCTAAATTCTAATCCATCCATTATCCTAGCTCGAAGAACCCTTTGTAGGTACGGCAATAATCATATTTTAATTTTTTTAAAGTTCTCTTTTATGCTTTTTTACTTTTCGGATTTCTTCGTGCTACCGGACTTCTTCTCAATCAGGAATCTTCTTAAGTCCTCATCAACCAAAAGTTCTCCATTCCGAGTCGCAACTCGCAGCTCGCAGTTCGCACTTTGCAGTTCCGCAATCGCGCGCGCGAAAGCTGAGTACGGGAAAGTATTCCCTGTTCTCAATTTGACCTGTCAACTTGTCGCTGCGGCTTGATGCTTTTAAGCCTTCAGCCTTAAAGGTGCTTTTTACTTGAGGGTATCGTTAATTCCGACCGAGATTCAATTGTCCGGGCCACGATGGACTCTCGGCCCGGCAGCTACCAGACAAGTGTCTTTCGCGCACAACCGACTGAGGGACTACAGCGCAAGATCCAGAAGCGCAATCGTCCTCCCGTCTCATGTCTGCTATGCCGGACACGCAAGTGAGTATCTCGTCCAGCTTCTTTGTCGTATGATACTGCCGACATCCTCATCCCCACCCTCATCCCCAACCCCCATCTCATCACTATCTCATCCCAACTTGTCTCATCCTACCGAACCCTATCCCAGTCCCACCCCCCGCTCATTGTCCTTCTCGTAGGGTGAAATGCGACCGCCAACAGCCATGTGAGAGGTGCGTCAAGAGTGGTGAAGCCAACTTCTGCGAATATGCACCTCGTGCCTCTCGCAAGACGCGCACGGATGCGCGGCCGCAAGTGGATACCCGGTCAAGACATGAACCTATGTCGAGACCCGTCCTGCAGGTTCGTCTCCAAAAACTTGAGGAGATGGTCAACGGCCTTGTCTACACCACGCGCAATCGTGAACCTGCTCTTGATACCCCCTCAAGTTCGGATCAGAGAACAGAAACAGAGACTCGTTCCGATTTGAGCTCGCCACCTAGCCTGGGGGCGACACCTGGAAACCCACTTCTCCCCACCACTCATGGTGGCGAGCACAATTATGTCGGTGCTACTCACTGGGCCTCCATCCTTGAGAGCATTCATGATATCCAAGGCATACTTCAAAATGAGACCGATGGACCTCCTACTCCGTCACCCCCGCCAGACCATGGAAGCCCGGACAATCCAGATGTCATCTTCGGCAAGCTAGCGCCCATAACCATTTCGCAGGCCGTCACGCGATTACCACCTAGGAGTAAGACGGACGCGCTCATATTAGTCTACTTCCGCCACAAGTTCGTAACAGCTCCATACATTCACACGACGAAGTTCCAAAGAGAGTACGACGCCTTCTGGGAGGACCCGTCTTCTGCTAGTCTGTTGTGGATAAGTTGCCTTGCTTCTATGCTATGGGTTGCCGCATCGATTACCCGCCTGAAGGGCGAGGCTGATGAATCTGAAGCAACCCTGCTTGATAGATTAACCTTGCTAGCAACCGAATGCCTCGTGTCCGGGGACTACTTGTCCGCCAAACCGTACAGTATTGAAGCGCTCCTCTTACATAGCTATTCAGAACTACAGAAGGCCAAGGAAATCAATTCTGGCTTATGGGCCAAATTTGGTCTCACTGCCCGGCTTGCGCAGCGAATGGGTTATCATAGAGACCCGAAGTATCTCCCTAACATTACCCCTTTCGAAGGAGAACTCCGTAGACGAGCATTCTTTTTCATTGAGGTGTTCGACGTGCTTTTCTCCTTTCAACTAGGCATGCCTCCCATTATTCGTGATGACGAATGTGACACCGAGTCGCCTAGTAATCTGTTTGATGCCGACTTTGACGAGAATACTATGGCATTACCACCGTCGCGACCATCTACAGAACCCACTTCTACTTTGTATCTCAGCTACAAGTCCAAGCTATGTCGATTATTGCGCCGGGTCATTCGATTTGCGTTATCCATACACCCTCCACCATATGAAGAGGTTATGAGGCTGGATGAAGAACTTCATCAATACCACGCTCAAGTTCCCCCCTCTCTACAAATAAGGCCGATACGGACGTACAGCTTCACGGATCAAACATACGACATCATGCATCGCCTCATGTTGGAGATGATGTATCTCAAAAGCCTTTGCGTATTACACCGGCCATACCTCAACCGGGAGAAGGATAACACCTTATATGATCGGTCAAGGAACACGTGTCGAGATGCGGCTCTTAGGATTCTGGATCTACACGCCGAGTACGAGGAGGAGAGCAGACCTGGTGGAAGGATATACGAGGACAAATACATGCTTTCGGCCCTTACTCTCCACGATTTCCTAATCGCGGCGATGATCTTGTGTCTG